TAATGGGCAAGTTAGAAATAGAAGATATAAGGACACAGTGGAGGAACCAGCAGGTGGCATAATGGTTAAGGCGCTGGACTCCCACATGGCCAACTGCAGTTCAAGTCAGACTTGGCAGTTTGAGTGAGCATAGCCAAAATTCCAGGAAGAGAGTGGAGGAGAAGGGATTGTGGCATGGCCATCCTCCCTGGGAGATTATTTCTCACTTTCCCTCTCACTATCTCTCTCTCTATTTCTCCAGCAAGCATACATACCCTATGGGGAAAAATTTTTTTAAAAAATTAAAAAGGACACAGTGGAACTGTTAGAATGATATTGCAAGAAAATAATTACTTTGTACTTACTGTATATAAATTATAATATCCTGTATGTATTGTTGTGTAACTTGCCTTTCTTCTTTTCAATAGGCCTTGAGCATCTTGCTATAGTGCTGCATACGGCTCCACATTACTCATTTGATAACAACTTATTGCCCCACTGTGTACCAGGCAGCAGGTGCCGAAGGCTGCGTATATGGCACTGGGAAAACAAAGTCCTTATTCTCATCAGCATTGCATTTTAGAGCAGAAGAAAGAACAGTGGAACTTACATACGCAATATACTAACATGACAGTACAACGGGAAAGAGATGTCCTTTAGCTCCCTTGGTCAACCAGAATGCATGCTGGGGCCAGCTCCATGGTGCAGGATAACATGCTGCTCGAGAAAAGCCAGAGTCCATATGACAACTGCGGCTTGAATCCCTAGCCTGGTCAGCCTGAAATACACCAAGCACATGCATAAGTGCCCAGGATCCCATGGCTGGAGAAACAGAGGAAAGGGACCATGATGTGACCAGACCATGTGGAAGGTACTCATCTCTCCTTCTCTCTGTACCTCCCCCCCTTAATTTCATATGCTCTAACACAAATTAAAAAAAATCCAAAAAAAAAAAAAAAAAAAAGAGGGGCTCCCCGCTAAGCCTCCCTCATTCTTTCAGGCTGCTGCATAGCATCAGGTTCTCCTAAAAAGGATAGGAGCTCCCTTTCCCTTTTGTTCTGTTTGGGTTTTGGTTTTGTTTGTGTTCTTAGTTGCCAGAAGGCACGTGTGTTTGTCAGACAGACAGAGAGGGAGAAAGCATCCCCCAAATGGGACGTAGTCATGCCACAGTCCCTTCTTCTCCATCCCTCCCCCGTGTCAGGACTTTAGGCACCAACACATATGTGCCTGATATGTTTCCTGAATCTCCTGGGCGGTGATTTGAACCTCACTTGGCCATGTGGGATCCAGCTCCCTTAACCACTAGGCCACAAGGCTGGCCCTCATTTCAAATTTTAGCTATTACAAATTATGTTGTAATATGTGCCTTCTTGTACACATCAACTGTAGTACTTGGAGTAGATACTGAAAGTGGAATTACTAGGTCAGACTTGCAAACTGCTCTTGAAATAACTGGACTAACTTAACTTCTGTCAGAAACTGCTTGTTCCTCATATCTTTTTTCGGCAGTTAATACTATCAAACTTATTAATTTTACCAATCTGAAGTGTGAAAACATGGTGTATTGAGATTTTTTTTTTTTTTTTTGGAGAGGTTTTTGCTATAGGGTGTGTGCACTTGCCAGAAAGAGAGACAGAAAGTGAGAAATCACCCCTCGGGGGGATGGCCATGCCACAATCCCTTCTCCTCCATTCTCCTTTTGGGATCTTGGGCACGCACGCACACTCATCCCATCGTGAGTTTAAGCCGCCAGGTCTGGGACTCGAACTACGGTCGACTACATGGGAGTCCAGAGTTGTACATTACACTAGCTGCTGACCCTGACTGAGATTTTTTTGAATTGATACTTTCTTGAATATTATTTAGCTTGAATATGATTTTATATGTTTATTAGTCATTCATATTTCTTGTAAAATGGTTATTCATATCTTTGCTTAGGCTTCCATAGAACTTTTTCTTTTTCATATGTTAGAGTTACTGTATTCGATGTAAAAATATTTTCTTGTATGTGTTGCAAATACTTTCTACATTCTTAATCTTTATCTTATGGAACTTTATTTATGCCTATAGTCAAATGTATCCATATATCCCTTTTAAGTTTATTTTTATTTATGATAGAGTATATGTACGAGAGAGAGAGAGAGAGAGAGAAATGCTATCCCCTTTCCTTGACCTTCCGGCTCGTCAGGACCTTGGGCACATGTGTATTCATACAGTGTGTTTGCAAAACAACTTGAGGATCCAAACATAGTCAGCAAGGTGGTTTTCCACCACTGCAGTTCTGTTTGCTACCAGATGTGTCACCAGGCTGGGCCTTCATGTATCCCTTTAATGATCATTTATTTCTATCTTTATTACTTTGAGTTTTAAAATTCGACATAAGTGCACAATTGTTTTTGATAAAAAATTGCTACACAGAAGACATGGCTAAGCAGTTTGGAAGACATCAAAATAAATGAGACCGTGGCATCTGCCCTCACAGATCTCGCAATTTAGTGTTGGGGACACATGCACATAAACACTTACAAAGACAAGTTCTTTTTTTTTTCTCCACTGGCTGGTCCGAGTTTATTTGGGCTGCCCCGGGGCCCCTGGGCCTAGAAGAAGGTGTTGGGCCTCTTGGTGGTGAAACGAGGCTCGTGCTGGCGTGGCAGGACGCGGTGGGGCAGCGGGAACTTGATCTTGGAGTCGTGGAACTGGCTGGCCGCGATCTCCCCCACCTTCCTGATCTGGGTGGAGTGGGCGCAGGTGCGGTGACGAGCACCCACGTCGCGGTAGCACTGGGTGACAGCGCCCGCCATGGTGAGGTCCGGGTGCTCGCGGTGCAGTTGTGCGTGCCGCGGCGGGAGTCGCAGTGCAGCCAGAGACCGAAGTTCTTCACCCTCAGCGGGACTTCTCCAACACCTGCCCATAGGAGACGATCTCCCCGGACTTCTTCATCTTCTTCAGCTGGGACAGGAAGTACCAGAAGCAGGACGTGGCGACCACGTGGTTCGGGGCGAAGACAAGCATGCAGTAGAGGGGGGTGTGCTGCACTTGGGGATGCAGGCAGCGCCCTGCCACCTTGTACTCGCGGAGCGTGCCGAGGCCCTCCTGGCGCTCTCTGCTCTCGCTGCCACCCACAAAAGCGCCAAGGTTCTTTCTTTCTTTATTTATTTATTTATTTATTTTTAAGAGGTTTTCGCTATAGGGCACATGCACTCGCCAGACAGAGACATAGAGACAGAAAGCGAGAAATCACCCCCCAGGGGGAATGGTCACGCCGCAATCCCTTCTCCTCCATTCTCCTCTCGGGATCCTGGGCACGCACGCACACGCGCCCGGCGTGAATTTTAAGCCACTGGGTCCGGGATGCAACCACGGTCCACCGCGTGGGAGTCCAGCGACATAGTCATTAAGCTAACTGCTGGTTCCCAAGCGCCAACGTTCTTAATAATCCACAAAAGAGTATCTTAAGACTATTGGGCCAGATGTGCGGCTCTGGAGTAACATTCTGCTCAGCGGAAGCGGTATCCCACGTGGTGGTCAGAGTTTGAATTCCGGGTCTAGTGAGCCGGAAGCACTCCAGGCATGCTAGTGAGTGTCCAAGGACTGACAGGCTGGAAGGCTAGAGAAAGGGGATTGCAGCACGACCAGACACTGTGGAGGGTCTCTCTCTCTCTCACTATCCTCTCTCTCTCATATAGCACACATGCACTTTAACATGAATAGAGAAGAAAATGTTAAAATATTTGGGGGGTTACTATGACAGGACGGTGCCTAGCTCAGAACAAAGCACCTGGAGAGGTTTCAGAGGCGCAGAAGCACTGAAGAGAGAGCAGCCTTTTGAGTTGGGAGTGATGCCCTTTGTTTCAGGAGAAATACCATAAGATAGAAAATGCAGAAAGAAGGGGCTGGAGAAAAATGGCCGGCAAAGTTGGGCAGTGGGTATGTGCGTAGGAGTAAAAGGAGCACGGAGGAGACCAGATTGAAAAGGTAAGAGTGCAATTATCTTAAGATTTAATCCATAATTTAAAAATATAGTAATACATTCAACACTTCCTAGTCTCCTTGAAAAGTAGCTGTTAAAGAAAACAACACGATGCATGATGAGGAATTAAGCAAGAATTTGGAGCGATTGGATGAACATAGATAGCCTTGCCTGACACGTAATGACAGCTGAAGACGGATGGTCGCACAGCCTGCCCAGTAAGTACTTGTGCATTGCTGGCTGATCAGCTGGCTTCCTCCTGGCCACAGCCCTTCTCCCAGAACAGCTGCAATTTGCAAGTCTTAAGTCTGTTTTACCATCCTGCAGAAGTAAGAGTTGGTTAATTTATGTATTATGGCTGCACAGTCCTCTGGGGAGGCTGCCAAAGAAAGCATGTTTTGGATGGAAATCTGGAAAACAGCAAAAATAAAATAAAATAAAAATGATTAAAACTCAAGCTCAGTTTGGCATAAGGATAAAGTTTCACATCCACATCCTCCCTGGGTTCTGCCCTTTAATCATCCTCCAGGACTCAGGGGTTATCATGGGTTGCTGTAGATAGCAGTCAGGCCTCCTTGGGCCTCATCGGCAAACACCTTCCTTTGATAGGCGATTGGAGAGTAACAGGATTTGAGTTTTAGTTTTAAGAGGATGGTGGAAAATGTTACAAACAGCTGACCTCCTCTGCCCCCACTGAACTGGCGTCATTCCTCTGCACATTTTATGTTGTTTTGGGGAGAATGACAAAAGACAGATGCTTCTCGCTGGAATGCTAGTTGTTTAATCATTCCTTCTAATCCCAAGACATTTACTGTAGCTTCTTGGAGCTGACATCTTCGGCCGCTCCTTGGTTTTCAACGTCTTGTAAATTGCAATTTTCATTTACACAAGATATGGGAAAGGGTCTTTTTTTTGAAGGTGTTATTTCTCAAATGATGTCCTTAGACCAAAAGACTTAAAATTGAAGTGCAAGAATTGTAAATAAATGGTGAACTCTTATAATGAGACACAACATACCTAAACTGGTCTTGCTGCCATCTCCCACCCAGCCTCATTCAGGTCTACAGAAGTGTTGTCCATTCCAGGGCTCAGCAGCAACATACGGGGTTAGTGTTCCTGCAGCAAGGCCTGCCACACCACCACCGTGGAGGATAGCTACTTCCTCTCCAGGTTCTGTGGCCCCCGTATCAACCCCAGGAAGCTGCCTGAAAGGCAAAATGCCCTTCAGAATTGTAATAAAACTCTCATCACAGTCATGGACTACTCTCCTCAGTTTGTCTCTTGTTTCGTGTTTTCAGAAAGATAGCCTGAAAGAGAAACTAACAAGTTGTGAGGTTCCCACGCATTTTCATCATGTAAAGGAGCAACAGTAAACAATTGATCTCATAGTTACATACAACCTTATTTTCCCAGGAGGGTATGGTCTACCAGGCAAATCATAACAATTCTGAAAATGATTTGCTTTCTCTTCCCTAAAACCAAACATCACAATTTCTCGTGTTTTTCAGTCTTATATCTTGTTCAGTTTACTTTTCTGAATTTAATACTGTGTATGCTTTTTGTCTCCCTCTTGTTAAACTTGCAAAGTCTTTTGATTAGCTCCATGACTTTCTTCTATCTGTGCAAAGATGTTCGTTTCTTTTCTTCCTGGTGAATACCATACTTCTGAAGAACCCTGTCCTTGGTGAGTGAAGAAGCTTTCTTGTGCAGGAGAGACAGTTTCAGGATAACACACCTGTATTTTTTCTATATATATATCTATCCCTGGGCATCCACAGGGAATTGGTTCCAGGAACCCTCCCCCCCATAGATACCAGAATTCGTGGATGCTTCCAGCCCTTTCTATAAAATAACAGTAGTATTTGCATGTAAATTAAATACATTCTTCCTTATTCTTTAAATCATCTCTAGATTACTTGTAATACTTAATATAATACAAATGATACATAAATAGCTATACTGTTTTCTTACTTGTATTATTTGTAATTATTATATTGTTGGGTTTTATTTTTTAATAGGAAAAGCATTGTGTGTTCCTTCTATGATTTTTATGATGATTTCTGGATATATTTGATGTACATCTTTGTAGAGTACAATATTTTTAAGGTTTTTAAAAGCATGGAAATATATGTAAAATCAAATCAAGGGTATACTCATAGTCATCTTCGATGTTGAACATTACATTGTGTTATATATATTTCATAATAGTTGTACTAGTTTGTTTTTTGAAATATGTATTGAATCATCCATATTTTCACTCTGTTATGGTGCACCATTCCATAACTTCTTCCCCTTATTCACATGCCATTTTTATGTTCATTAAAAATTTTCTCCTGAAGCCCTGCCCCCAGCCCCATGCAATTTCTGGTGTCTACCATTCCTTGCTCTAGCTATCCTTAAAAGTCCTCTGTTTCTGCAATAGACTACAGACATTTGGGGTATGTTAAGTAGGGACATACAGTATTTATCTTTCATAGTCTGGCTTATTTAGCTAAGCATTACATCTCCTAATCTTGTCCATTATGTGTTGGAATTTTTTTGTGTGTGTGTGGCTGAGTAATATTCCATTTTGTGTTTGTTCCACATTTTCCCAATGTACTCATAGGCTATTGGGCACTCAGGTTGATTCCATGACTTATCCATTGTAAATATCCTGCAATAAAGATAGATGTGCAAATGTTTCTCCAATTAAGTCATTTCTTGTCCTTTGGGTATATATCCAATTGTGGGGTTACTGGGTCAAATAATTCTAGGTTTTAGATTTTTTTTTTAGAAGTTTTTGTACTTTTTTAGGGAGACAGAAAGTGAGAAATCCCCCCCGGGGGGATGGCCATGTCTCAATCCCTTGTCCTCCATTCTCCTCTCAGGATCTTGGGCACGTATGCACACATGCCCAGTGTGAGTTTAAGCCATCAGGTCCGGAACTCGAACTGCAGTTGACTACATGGGAGTCCAGAAACATAGCTAGTAAGCCATCTGCGGGTCCCAGATTTTAAAAAATTATTTATTTAATTTTATTTATCATTTTTAAAAAATTTTTTTCTACAGAGAGAGACAGAGAAAGCAAGTCACCAGGTTCAGGACTCAAACTGTGTTCAGACATGTGGGAGTCCAACACCTATAAACACCACACTACCTGCTAGTTCATAGTTTTTAGATTTTTGAGGTTCCTCTATACATTTTCTGTACTGACTTTTCTAACTTACATTCCCACCAGCAATGCACAAGTGTTCCTTTTCTCATCAACTTTATCAGCAATTATTACTTTGCTTTTTTTTATCTTAGCTATTCTGACTAGAGTTATATAATACTTATCTCATTATGTCTCATTATAGTTTTGATTTGCATTTTTCTTATGATAAGAAATATTGAACATGTTTTCCCTATGTTTTCTAGTCATTCATGTATCTTTCCTAGAGTCATCTATTCAGATTGCTCTTTTATTTTAATTGGATTATTAGCATTTTTGAGTGTGAGTGAGCTGTTTGAGTTCCTTATATATTCTAGTTTTCGATCTCTTAACCGAAATATTATTTGCACATATTTTATCCCATTATGTGGGTTGTTCTGTACTTAATGTTTCTTTGCTGTGAAGAAGCAGCTTTTTATCTAGATGTAATCTCATTTATCTGCTTTGGTATTATTGCCATTGCTTTAGGGGTTTTATTCAATAGATCTTTGCCTACTCCAATATTTGAAAGTGTTACCTTTACAACTGACTTGTATGACTGTGTATTGTGGGTCAGGCCACCTGTAGGCGCTGGGAAGAAAAAGTTCTGAAAACCAACTCACAACTCAGAAATTAGGGGAAACAGAAATGGGAAGATGGCAACACAATGATGTCTGCACTTTCTAAATCCCAAGAGGCAGTTATTTTGACTTTGCCTCTACGTTATCAATTAGATTCTGCAATATAATACATTTTTGTTCTGTTTTTTGGTACACATAGTCACTCATAGTAATCCCTTATAATCTTTCTTTATTTCTGTGATATCTGTAGTAATGAACCCTTCTCGTTTCTGTTTATTTTTGTGAGCCTTCTCTCTCTTTTTCTAAGTTAGTCTAGCTAATGATTTTTCAATTTTATTTTCTCAAAGAATCAGCTTTGTGTTTCTTTAATTTTTTGTATTACTCTTTTATCCTATATTATATCTTTCTATTCTTATTTTTCTTTTTTTTCTTCTATAACTTTTGGACTTAGCTTGATATTGCTTTTCTATCTTTGGTGATATGCATCATTAGATTGTTTATTTACCATCTTTCTATTTTTTTTTCTTGTGAGTCTCTATAAACTTTCATTTTAGTACTGCTTTTGTTGTTTCCCAAGGGTTCTGGAGTGTAGTATTTTTACTATCATTTGTGTCAAGAAATTTCTAAATTTCATTCTTAACTTCAGTATATTTTAATTAATTCAGGAGCATGTTGTTTAGTTTTCATGTACTTGTGTATTTTTGGAAGTTTCTTTTTGGGGTTGATTTTAAATTCAATTCCATTGTGGTCAGAGAAGATGGTAGATATGATTTTTATTATTTTAAACGTGTAGAAGTTTGTTTTCTGCCCTATTACGTGGTCAGTCTTAAAAAATGTTCTATGTGCTACTGGAAAAAATGTATATTTTGTTTTTATTGAGTAAAATTCTCTATAAACGTCTGTCAGGTCTATTTGATTTGTAGTACAGCTTAATTCCAGTGTCTCTTTATTTTTTGTTTAGATGTTCTATCCAATAGTGAAAGTGGGGTGTTAAAATGTGTCAGAGTCTATCTCTTCCTTTAGGTCTAGCAGTCTTTGTTTTATGTATTTGAGTACCAAGATTTTGAGTACATAAATATCTATAATTGTTATGTCTTCTTTGTGGGTTGATCCCTTTAATATTTATAATGACTTTTTGTCTCTTTTTACAGATTTCATCTTGAAGTTAATTTTGTCTCATATCAATATAGCAACTCCTGTTTTATAGTTATTATTTCTGTTTTTTGTTGTTGTTTTATTTTGGGGTGTTCATTTGCAAAGAATGACTTTATAACATTTACTTTTAGTCTGTGTGTGTCTTTACCAATTAAGTGTAATTCTGCAAGCAGAATATAGAAGCTCCTGGGTTTTTTTTCCCACCTGTTCAGTCAATTTATATCTTTCTAGTGGAGTTTAATTCATTTATACTTAATAATATTATTGATATGTACAAATTTACAGCTGTCACTTTGTTGTTTGTTTCCTGATTTTTGTGTTCTTTTTTGTTTCCCTTTTTTCTTCTGTTACTGTTTATCTTTGCTATTTGGTCATTTTCCATTGTGGTAGGGATTGAATCATTTCTCTTTTTTTATCTTTGTGGTTAATTTACTGATTAATTTCATAGTTTTATACCTTCACATACTTTCATGGTAACAATTATCTTCCTTTCATCTCCAGATGTAGTACTCTCTTAAGTATTTTTTAAAGACCATTATCGTATTAGTGAATTCCTTCTATTTTTGTTTGTCTGGAAATGAATTAATTTCTTCAAATTAAAGGATAGTTTTGCTGGGTATAATATGCTTGGTTGAAACTGTTTGTTTCAGAATTTTGAAATGATATTCCATTCTCCCCTGGCCTGTAAGGTTCTTCTGGGAGGTCTGAAGTTTGCCTGATGGGGTATCCTTTATAAGTAACATGGCACTAATCAGTAGCCTTTTAGGATTTTCTTTATCTTTGATTTTTTTTTTTTTTCTGGAGAGATTTTTGCTATAGGCCACGCGCACTCGCCAGACAGACAGAGAGAGACAGAGAGACAGAAAGCAAGAAATCACCCCCCAGGGGGGATGGCCACGCCGCAATCCCTTCTCCTCTGTTGTCCTCTCAGGATCTTGGGCATGCATGCACACGCGCCCAGCGTGAGTTTTAAGCCACCGGGTTCAGGATGTGAATCGCGGTCGACTACATGGAAGTCCAGTGACATAGTCATTACACTAACTGCTGGTCCCAACTTTTGATATTTTGACTATAATGCACTTTGTAGACCCACTTGACATCCTTAGAATTTCCTGTAGCTGAATATCTGTATCTCTCTCCTGACTTGAGAAGTTTTTAATTATTATTTTGTGAAATAAATTTTCGGTGTCTTTTTCTGTCTTGTTACCTTCTGATATACCCATTATATGAGTATTCAGTCATGTAGTCTGGTGTCCCAGATTTCTCTTATGTTCTCATTATGAATGTTTTCTTTTTGATA